CATCCCTCCAGCTGCCCTGCTGACTTCCTGTTCTCAGGGCCTGATCAGGCGGAGCTAAGACAGGGTCCGGAGATGGGTGGGAAGAGTCAGGCGCTGCCAGGGCCCAAGGGCTGCTGACCCCAGGAGCAGGCCCTCCGCAGACACACACAGACGGGCACGGAGACAGCTGCTCTGCACCGAGGCTCAAGGGCCCGCGGGAATCCACCTGGCTGCCCCAGCTGCGGGCTTCGGTCTCCAGAGTGAGCCCGTGTGCCCACTGCAGAAGCCCCTTCCCATCCCCCTAGGCCCCCAACTGACAGGCAATGTTAGGGCAACTGAGCACACAAATAAAGAGGCTTCCAACTTACTCCTCGAGAACTTCCCCAGTGATAACTTTTATTGTTGCTTCTAAAATTACGCTTGTACATTTTATGCACTCTTTCGCTGTACTTTTCCCAATTAAAAAAAGAAATAGAATTATAGCAACTGCCTCGACATTTCTGGCCTATTGATTAGTGTTTAATTGATTTATCCAGCAAATGCAGCTCTTTAAGCATGCGGGGAAAGACACGGTTCCATTAGAGCAATCAATAGATCATTTTTAAGCAGAGAAATGCTGTATTTAACCAGAACTAGTTCATTATCTCTGGGGTATACCAATCACCAGAAAATGGAATGAATGCATGCTTTTAAACCCAGAAATCTAATGCAATTAGTGGGTCTGAGCTAAACAAAAAAAAAAAAAGAAAAAAGAAAAACCAACTCTCTGGTCTTGGTTTCCCTGGAACCATCCAGAACGCAGCCGAGAGATACAGATAAAGATCTTCTTCGCTTCCCTGGGGGAAACGTTGTTTCTTTGGAAGAGGTTGACATTGGGCTGTTCGAAGAGCTGCAGTGGGCACCTCAGGTGAAGTACACAGCAGCGTTTAAATGAGCTTAAACAGGCTCCAGTCTCTGGCAGGAAAGGGGCACTGCAGATGCTTTTTCTTCACAAATTGACACAATTTCTCTTTAAAATCCTGTCACTGTCTTAAGCCAATATAATTTGTGATTAAGTACCTAAATTACTTATTCTCTCTCTCTCTCTCTCTCTCTCTCTCTCTCTCTCACACACACACACACACACACACACACACACTCATACACACACACACTTATAATCAACAAACCCATGCCATATGCATAGCTAAACTATCTGGCCACCACCATTTGACGGAATATGAAGGCCCCTTTTTGGACTAATAATTCACGGCAAACATAATTATCTTGTTCTTTTTTTTTTCTAAGCTAGAATTAATGAGTACAAATTGTGAATCTCAGAGAGAACATCTTGGAAGATTTTGTGATGAAATCCAAGTGTCAGAAAGTATAGGCAAATTCAGGTCAAAGTTCCCGAAAGAGACGTGGGAATCTCAGCAGAACTCGGGTGCCCTCGGAAGGCCCCGACTGGCAGGCCGGCCACCCACTGCGTCTCCTTCCCTCGGGAAGAAGGGGCCGTGACAGCCAACAGCTGAGCCGAAGAAACCTCCAGGCTCCTCTAAAACACCAGGGTGGAGCTCCATCCATTAGGAAGAGGTGACTTTACTAACAAAATAGTCCACAATCATTTGCTCTAATGAGGCCATAAAAGACAAAAACCACCAAGATCTATTTAAATGAGGAAATGTGCGTGGGCATTGCCTGTCTCTGGCAATTCAGTTTAACTCTGGGGCTTGAAAATCTAAGGGCACCCAACAATAAAACAGATCAGCACCACAATCTCCCTGCAGGCATTGTTGGCTGGTGGATGGCCACTGAACCCGCCTCTTCGAAATCAAGAAGGTCGGTACCCCCAAAACGAGCAATTCAGCTTCCATATGACCCAGCAATCCCTCTCCTCGGAATGGCTTCCAGGGGTCCAAACGCCCAATGCAGAAAAGACATCTGCACTCCTGTGCTCATGGCAGCACTATTATTCACAATAGCCCAAATCTGGAAACAATCTGAGTGCTCAAGGACAGATGAGGGGATTAAAAAAAAAAACCATGGTACGCATACACAGTGGAATATTACTCAGCAGTAAGAAAAGATAAAGCCATGTCCTTCCATTTCTTCATGGATCCGGAGAGTTTCATGAATGAAATTAGTCAGAGTGGGACAGACAGGCAGATGAGATGATCTCCCTGACACGTGAGAGAGAAAGAAACTTCACAAGGAAATAACAAAGCCCCCAAGACAATGCAGCACTGTAGGACTGTCCTCTTGTTGTTCATCGATTTACCTGAGCGGGCCCAGTAACATCTCCACCATGAGACTTGTTGTTACTGTGTTTGGCACATCGAATACGTCACGGGGAGCTTGCCAGGCTTTGCCGTGCGGGCGAGATACTCTCGGTAGCTTGCCGGGCTCTCCGAGAGGGGCGGAGAAAAAAAAAAGAATAACTTTGTAACTTTGAATTCACAGTGATTAAAAATTATTTTAAAATTAATAATAAAGCGAAGGAGTGATGCTGCTTCTGCTCCTTGTTCTGCATCTTCTCTGTGAAGACGAATAATTCTACGAACTCCCCGTGAGAACGGACAGGTGCTCCTCACCATCTGATCGTGGCAGTCACCTGCCGTGTGCTCCTCTGGGGCCTGGGAATGGGCCCTGCTGGCTGAGGGTGTCCTGGGTTCCCCTTCATTTTCAGCAATTCCAGTGGGCCCACCCATGTGCCTAAGAGCCACTGAGTTACCTAATGGGAACTAAAATACTACCGCACAAGCGCAGTGAGAAGCGTTTCACCCCTGCTGGTGGTGCCCACCATGTGGCATCACTCAGTGTGTGGTTTGACCTTTTCCTGGGGCCCACGTGACCTTCAGTGGCTGTGGTTTGGGTTTGAATTCTGGTTTCAACAAACGGTTCTGTTAATTGGATATTGATGCTGACAGTCCGTTTTCTCTCGAATCGTGATGAGATGCAGCCCATTGACTTGCAGGAGAGGGAAATGCTGTATGGGAAAGAGCCTCTGGCCGTCTGGTGTGAGGACAGAGGTCGCAGGTACAGGCTAGGAGAAGACTGCGCCAATGCTCTCTCCCCGCTCACCCTTGAGCAGAAAACTGTGGGAACCTACCGGCTAAGGCAGCCCCGCGCCATGAGAACGGCCCTTGTCACTGCAGCATCTGTGGGTGTGTGACCAGCCTGGCCAGTACCAGGGCAGTGCTGAGGGGAAGCACGAGCCATGTGTAGGTATGGGTGTCCGACCAGGGGTACCTCCCGCCTCCACCCGCCTCTAAGATACCTCTAAGAGTTGCTGCAGAGGGCTGGGCTGGGGTGCAAGGTTGGCTCTGGGTCTTTCCTGGAGCTCGGCAGGGTGTGAGACACTGTCCCCCCTGCCCTGCCCTCTCACCCCAGCCACATCTCCGGGGGTCCTTCCAGGTCATGGAATCCTAGGGTCCTGCCCCAGTGCAGCATTGGGATGGGCCGCCAGTGCTGCCCTCAGCTCTCACACCCACATAACGCAATGCCAGTGGTCTGAGAAATGCCACACGGATGTGTGTGAGGTCTCAGACACCCACTGTCCGGCGGGACGTTGGATGAGACCCCCAGAGTGATGACTTGGGAAGCAGCCAGGCCTCCTGGAGAGCTCTGGATGGTGCATCTTTGGACCTGGGAGCTGACTCTTACTGGTCACTGGGGTGCAGTGGGGAGAGCTTGGTTCAGGGGCCTGCCCTGGCTTAGGGGAGGGAGGTACGGGCAGGGCAAGAAGCCAGCAGGGGTCTCTGGGAGCCCCTTGGCCTGGAGGAGCCTGCTCCCCGACAGGCATGAAGGGGTCTCAGGGTAGAGGGGAGGGTCTCTGCAGGGCAGGCGGGGCTAGCTCACTGAGTACGTGGTTCGAGGAGTGATGACTGAGCATTTGGTCTGTGTGGGAAGCAGACCCGAGAGGGCTGGAGGGAGGGTCCTGGGAGGGCCTTGTTAGACGGGGGTGGTGGGGGAGGGGTTGAGGTCATGGTTGGGGGGACACCACAGGGCCTGGGTACCCTGAACCCAGCATTGCGTCCATCACCAGAATTGGTCACCACTGACTTGGTCCTGCCCTTGGACTAGCCCCCATCTGACCGTGCTGCATGCCTAAGAGTGGCCGTGCTGCCCTGCCCTGTCCATCTTCTCAGACAGGGAGAGGAGAGCATGTGCTCTCCCTGGATCCATCCTGGGAGCCCAGAGGGAGGAGAGGGGGACTCGAGTCCAGCTGTCTTTCCTGCCGTCAGCATACTGGCATCCTGCTTGAGCCCTGTGTTGTCGAACAGCAGCTTGTCCGAGTGGTGGAGCATAGTCAGATGGCGGCCAGGCCAAATGATGGAGCATAGTCAGATGGCGGCCTGTCCAAGTGATGGAGCATAGTCAGATGGTGGTCTGTTCAAATGATAGAGCATAGTCAGATGGCAGCCAGTCCAATCCAAATACTTGGAGCAGTCAGATGGCAGTCTGTCCAAATGATGGATATAGACAGATGGTGGCCAGCCCAAATGATGGCGCATAATCAGATGGTGGCCTGTCCACATGATGGAGCATAGTCAGATGGCGGCCAGTCCAAATGATGGAGCATAATCAAATGGAAGCCAGTCCAGTCCAAGTAATTGGAGCAGTCAGATGGCAGTCTGTCCAAATGATGGATATAGACAGATGGTGGCCAGCCCAAATGATGGCCAGCCCAAATGATGGCGCATAATCAGATGGTGGCCTGTCCAAATGATGGAGCATAGTCATATGGCAGCCAATTCAAATAATATAGCATAGTCAGATGGTGGTCAGTCCAAATGATGGAGCATAATCAGATGGTGGTCTGTCCAGATGATGGAGCATAGTCAGATGGCAGCCAGTCCAGTCCAAATAATTGGAGCAGTCAGATGGCGGTCTGTCCAAGTGATGGATATAGTCAGGATGGTGGCCAGCCCAAGTGATGGAGCATAATCCGATGGTGGTCAGTCCAGGCAACAGCATGATCAAGCAGTGGCCAGTTCAGAGCCATGTTTCGTGACTGATAGTTCTTATTCTTCTTTCAGGGTCACCCAGAAGTCCTGAGTTTCCGGATCCAGCTGGAAAGCAGATCCCTGGTCGTCCACCTGGAGAGAAACGAGTAAGTCGTGCCTTCAGTGCTCTGAGCCCACGCGGGAGGCCGGAGCTCGGCCGCGTGGACGGATGGAGACTAGTGTGTGATTTACGTTGGCGTTAGAGAACAGAACCCGCTGCATGGATTCATCATCCAACTATGGAGTTGAGGCTGGAATTCACCTTTTAAAAATGGTGCAGTGGGAAAACAAAGCTTCTTATCTGCAAGGACTAAGCGAGTCAGCAGTTTCCCAGTCTGGCGTTTCCTTGTGCGGAGCCTGGTTCTTCCAGAGCGCATCCTCGGCCCTTCACGTGGCCCGTTCCATAATTAGTTGACTTTCGGCAACTCCTGACTTACAGGAGAAGTAGCTTCCGATGGATAGAAATATTAGCTTTTCCCTGAGACATTCTAAGAGTTTCTTTTCTCTTTCAAACCTTGTCTCCTTTGGTATAAAGTATTTCATCTTTTTTATTTCAAGTTTGGTGCTTTTTTTTTTTCTCAGAATTCTATAGATTTCTGGGAGATTAGGCCTTACCTGTTTGCCTTGAGCACACAGGTGTTGGCAACTGTTTGGCGAGACTTCCTACTCGGATCTCTGCCTTCTGATCTGTCAGAGCAGCTCTGTCTGACCTTGGTGACGGAGGTCCTTCCGGTCTGAATGGACCTTGCCTGTTGGGTTAACACTAGGGAACTGAGCTCTGCCTTCTGCTGTCTGTACCGAGGAGTGTGCGTCAGTCTCCTCGTCTGGCTTGATACCAAAGAGGAATTTTTTTCTCCTTCAGAACAGCTAATTCTTATTCCTCCTCCCAGCAGTAAAGTACCGTGTGTGTGTGTGTGTGTGTGTGTGTGTGTGTGTGTGTGTGTGTGTTTGACACACAATGAGTAGGACAGTCTGACCTAGGTGCTCAGCAGTGACCATGTGACTTGGTGTGTTCCCCGCCCGTGTGCCCACCCTAAGCCCACTGCCCACGGGCGAGTGAGGCTCATAGCAGCCAACTCTCACATTCCATGGCTCACACCATGGCCCGCCTGGGTGGCAGAGGTAGACGATGGCTGGACTAGGGACCATCGGGACCATCGATGCGTCGAGCTAGATTTCTTAAAGGAATCTCAGAGAAGCAGGCAGGCCGCTGCGTGGGGCTGCCCAGACATATAAACCATCTATTATCGAACATCGTGGATTGCAGCGACAGAGTTACTTGGGATTGACTTGTAGGCGTGCAATCTTCCCACACCCGTCCTTCCTCGGTGTCCACTTCCACCCACCAATGTCCCCACTTTTCCTCCCACCCCCCAACCTGCCTCTGTGGTGGGCACTTTTTTCTTTTTTCTGTCTCTCTTGTTTCCTCCCCACTGCCCCTCTTAGGCACTGTGGATTATCGTGCTGTTATTGACGGGGTGTCATGGCTCGCCACCTGGCCTGGTCGGGAGTGACCGCCTCCCTCCACCAGGCAGAGTGTCCCCGCCCTGACCTCCGCTGCTCCCCACGCCCCCCCTCAGCAGTGGCCTCCTACCGGGACCAGTTCTGAGCTTTGGCAACAAGTCACTTGTCTTCTCTTGCCTTCGTGACATGGTGGCCCTTGCAAGAGACTCGGGTCCATGTTTGTCGTCACTAGTTACTGACCAGGAGCCCGCATCTTGCTGTGATCTGTCTCTTGGGCCAGATCGTGGACTCCCGTATGAGGCGATCATGGGGTGCCACTGAACAATCACGTCTTTGAAAACATCTCCATGGTGGAACTGGGGACCCGGGCAGGGAGCAAAGCAGAACTGTCCTGCTGCTCTGGGGGTCAGGGGGTGGGGGGAAGTTGATGGTCACTGAGGGTGGGAAGAAGAGCTCTCACACCTGCGCCCCTCCGGCTCCGGGGGCAGCGTGAGCTGAGGGTCCCGGGGCTTCTGTGGTCCGATCACTGCTGGGGGAGGGGGTAGAGATAGACATAATAGAAACCTAAGGTTGCTTTTTTTTATAAAAAATGAATCTCTGTCTAGAGCTGTGATGTACAATGTATAATACAGCTTTGAATCATTTTGAGTTAGCTCCGGTTGTATATGCTCTGTCTCCTTTGAGCTTGTGAACTTGCTTGTCCTGGAGAAATGCTGTTAACGGCAACCTGGGCCAGCCACAAGGCCCCCTGGTTTCAGGGAAACCCCTTCCCTTGCAGCTAACGCCCTTGTCCAACTCCTTATCTTACGGGGCCATGCTGGAACTCCAACGCTTTTGCTGAACTGTCGTCTCCTGATGCGTAAGCCCCCCACAGACTGCACCAAGTGCTCTTGAAACCCCGGGTGGGGGCTGACGGTCTTGGGCGCCTGGACTAGCCTTGGCCCACCTGTGAATAAATCTCCTTGTTCTCGGGCCGTAGGACTCCTGTGCTTGGTTCAGTGATCTCCGTGGTTTCAGCGCTAAAGTAAACCATGTCCCACGTGCTCCCGGCTGAGCTTGTCTGGGTGGAAGGTGGTCGCCAGACTCTCCCCTTGCATTGGAATGGACACACTTTCCTGGACAGGAGTGTGTTTCCAAGAACCCATCTGGTGCTCCAAGTCTGTAAAGTGGCTTCATAGCCTCCGTCCTGGTTCCCCCTGGGTTGGTCGGTGCAGGATTCTCAGACACCCGCTCAGTGGTGGGGAGATCGAGGTGGAAGGAGCTGGACTCGCTCGTTGCTTATTCCGGGCCTCCCAGAGCATCTCAAAACTCCAAGAGCTGAAGACAGAAAGCAGAAGACTGTCTCTGCTTGGCGGCGGTTCCCTTGCCAACTGCTGTGGGGCTGCAGTTTGGGAGGTAGGGAGAGTTTCAAACAGGTCCCTGTGCCGCAGCCGTACTTCAGTCCGCTCTCCATAATAACTGCCACAAAATCCCATCCTCCTAGCACGAACATTTGTTCATCCTTGGAGGATGCCGATACTGTGTGCAGATCGTGAGTCCCCGAAATACTCTAACAATGGTTTTAAAGATGGTCACATGTCTACTACGGTGTAGAGACTTTATTTTTGAGATGATGAAAAAGGACTAGAATTTTATAGAATTTTATAGAGTGTGAAATATGAAATCGGCCCTATCGGGCATGAAAGGTCAATCCATGCCTGCATTGACCAGTTGCTGCTCTCTCTCTGTCTCTGTGTGTCTGTCTCTCTCCCTGTCTTTCTCTCTGTCTGTCTTTCTCTCTCTGTCTCTCTGTGTTTCTGTCTCTCTCTATCTTTCTCTCTGTCTGTCTCTCTCTGTCTCTCTGTCTCTCTGTATCTCTGTCTCTCTGTGTCTCAGTATCTCTGTCTCTGTCTGTCTCTCTCTCTCCCCCTTTCTCTCTGTCTCTCTCTCTCTGTGTCTCTGTATTTCTGTGTCTCTGTCTCTGTATCTGTCTGTCTCTCTCTCCCCACCTCTCTGATTTGGGGGCCACACCCAGCGGGGTACTCAAGTCTTATTCTTCGGCCTGCCCTCAGGAATCACTCCTGGTGGGACTTGGGGGACCCTATGGGATGCCTGGGATGGAACCTGGGTTGGCTTCTACAAGTGTGGATCCCACTTGCTAATTTCCATCACTGGGGTAGAGCAGGGGTGGCAGGGGGGATGCTCTGCCCACCGCCGGGGCTTGTTCTGTGCACTGCACCTATGGGGTGGGCCAGCCAGCGTGAGGCAGCAAAGCCGGCACCTCTCCAAGCCTCTGAGCTCTCTGGTCCCACATCTCACTGCCTTGTGACTGCCAACAGTGGCTGTGGAGAGTCGTTGGTTGCTGGATTTGTGGCTTTATATTCATATTTATATTTGGGGTATCTCTGATCTAGAAGAACTCTGCGGTGTCTTTTGTTCTGGAATCAGTTACCCCAACGTCTCTGATCAGTACTCCCTGGGAATAGTTGCTGAAGAAACATTTGAAAGAGATCCAACCTGGGCACAAAGATTTGTGAGGATTATTTGCGTGTGGCTGGGAGTATTGTGGGGTGGGGACGGGGGGCGGGGGGGGGGGAAGAGTCAGGGAGGAGAGCGCTGGGTGCCTCGGGGCTAGCCGAGGGATGGGCCAGGGGGACCCTCCCGGGATGTGCCACACTGCTCCGAGATGGCTGCCAGTGGCCTTGGGCTGGAGACGAGGCCTCTCTGGGCTGCAGTTTGGTCAGCAAAGGTGCCTTGACCAGAGTTCCTGGCCACCCACGGCCGGGGCGGGGCTTGGTGGGGGAGGCGTGCTCCCAGCCCAGCAGAATCTGGATTATGGAGATCTCAGCACTTTGGATCAATGGGCCAAAACTAACAAGATGAGATTTAATGGGGATAAATGTGAAGTCCTATGCTTGAGTTCACCAAAAAAACATTGTTCTTCCCCAAGGAAATGTGCTGTTTGGCGCGTGCCATCTGCAGAGTCGGGACGAGCCTGTGAGGAGGCGCCGGCCCTGAGGCCCGGCCCAGGCAGGGAAGCTCGTCACGAAACTTGTCTGTCACCCTTCTGTGCAGTGACCCTGCCCAGGGCCCCTCCAGGACACTGCCCACTGCTGCCCCCTCCCACTCTGCCCTCGAGCCTGACTTCCTGTCCATGGACCACACGTGTCCTCCCAGGAACGGGAACTCAGCATCCTCCCCTGCCACCTGCAGTGTCCCGCTGGGGTGACGCACCCAGAGAAGCTGTGACAGGGCGTTCAGAGCCTGCACGAGGCCGTGGTCTGCACGGGGGTCCCGGTCTGTCCCGGCAGGGCGTGGGAAACCCCTTAAGGAGACTTTTTCTGGAAAGGACAGGGAGTCGGTCTGGAGACAAGCTGGAACCTTCTCACACAGAGCCAGAGCTCACAGCCTCGTGGGTCCGGGGAGCAGCTCTGGGGCCCAAGGGACTGCGGGATGAGCGCCCACCACCAGGGAAGCCCCCCGCCCCCCAGAGTTCTGGTCTGCGGCAGGCGGTGGTAGCTGATTCCCGCCTGGGAAATGTCCTCGGCTTCCGGGACTGACCCTCCGTCCTGAGGCTTTGCTCTGCCCTGGCTCCCGGGAGCCAGCCCGTTCGGAGGCGTTGCTGGGTCCTGTGTGGGGGCCACGAGAGAGAAGCCCCCAGCTC